GGAGGACCACATATAACGTATAATACGGTACTTGTTTTTGCCTTCTACATTATATTTATCAAAAAGAGATAATAACTTTTTCTTAAATAGTAAAGATAAAAAATAAAAAAACAAATCATATTTTATGACGATATTTAAAATTACAATTAACATTATTTTAGTCATGCCTAACCGTAATAAGATTGTGGTAGGTAAATATTTAAATGAAATGGTTTAGAAGATCGTTTTTTAATCAATAGCAGTATAACTAATATACCAAATTAGAGTTGTCTTTATTAGGCATTAGAATTTTTGAAACCTCCTATATTAAGGGATTTTAAAGAAAAAAAATAGTAGTGTGAGTAATGTCAGAGTGAGTCGATTATCAGTGTGGGATATATAAACTTCATTATTCCAAATTTAAATGATTTGTTCAAATTCAAATCTTTCAGCGATATAAAAAATTGCTCATAATTTTTTAATCGATACAACTTATTGTTTCGCAATTCATTAATGACTAAAAGTCCATTTTAACTATTAATTGATAACGTTTTAAAAAATTAAACTGACAAAAAGTAGACTATTTCCGTGTCCGAAATTTGAAATGCAATACTTTGACAGGTGTGATGGTAATATTAAATTTAAATTTACAAAACATATCACACGCCTAAAAACGTTTCACGGTACCAATGTATAGAGAGTCAGACACAAATAGAAAGTAATGATATTTTCAATTTTAAGACCAACTTGTATTTATGGAAACCTCGACGTCAAAACCACGAGCTTCAAAAATCAAAGTAGCTGATGTTGAAGAGCTGAAATTGATCACAAATAAAACTACGCCAATCATGATATGTTACTACGATACATAAACTCCTAATCACATTTAAAATCGAAAGGAAAAGTAAATATGAAGATTCATAATATTAATTTACTAAACAAAAATCCTTATTATAAATGTTATTTTTATATCAAATAGAACTTTATGTCTTATACTATAAACATATTCTATTTTGATTGAAATGAAACATCGTCTGCTAGGTAAGTAAAAAATTTGTGACCTCATATTCAATAGAGACTATAATGATGATGATCACTGGTTGATTATTTGAATTGTTTCTTCAGTATACATCTCAAGATTCAAATGTCATAAGAGTTGTTATGACATTATATAATTAAATTTCATTTCATTCCATTAACATTAAATAAATAAGGACTTGTAACAATATTCCAAATTTTAAATTGTTCATGACATTATATTTTTGAATCGTATATCAGTGTTCAAGTGAATTGACAGTTTAAAATTAATACAGCACATGCATAGATCAAGTATTCAGATAAACCATGCAAACATTTTCCGTTACGTAAGTCGCAAGACGAATAAGTCTGGGAGGGAGTTTGTACAATCAATCGTAAGTTGCACGATGGATTGTATGCTTCGCTTCAAGTTTGTAGGACTTAAGTTTGTTACGGTTCGGATCAGCAATTTTAGAAGCCAATTGAACTTAAAATTACCTAAATGTATTCCGACATGCGACTTTACTTTTACAAATCTTTTTTATATTTTATATGTATGTATTTTGGATTGTTTCAAATTATTTTTATATTTATTATTAATCCTAACAAAATAAAAGTAGAAATTAATGTAATGTAGAATGTAAACATAAATTGTACCTGAATCTATATAATTTGCATAAAATAAAACTATTTTCGTTTTGTTCATTAGAAAGTCTAAAACCAAACAGAATTTTTATCACGCACTGATTCTTTTAATGTAAATCTATTATAGCACATATGAATGTAAATCTTAAAATAACTTTTTATGAAATGTGAAGCAGAAAATAAAAATGTAATCCGGTTAATGGATTCGTATGGCGCAATACACGTCCACAGCTTTTATTTATTAAATCAAAAAAATATATTGGAAACAAAGAGGTTTTCTCTTACAAATAATATGATAAAAAATATGCGCATATTACTTTGACGATGGCTATAAAATATGTACATATATTATTTTATAATATATTTCTTAATATTCCATCATTGAATTTCTTCCACCTTAAATGTAATATAAAAGAAAAATACTAAAGTAAAAAGTATTAGAAAAGCAAGAAGGTGTACCTTGTTTTTCAATATCACGAAAGTGTTTTTTTAGCTATAAATTTACGTCTTAAGAATACACTAACTGAAAGTCATGTAGAATTTAAAGTATAACAACAAAATAACTTTCAACAACAACTTACTTCGACTACCATAAAATTTACATTTAACTAACTCTTCTACTTTAAAATTTACATCTAAGTTCAAAAGTTATAATAAGAATAAGGGAAAAAAGTCACTGTTGGAAACTATTTTAAAAAGCTCTTATCATAAGTATCTTTGTTAAATATCTACTCTGTATTAAACCTGAAAAGTGTGTTGTAAGATACTAAGTAATTCACAAATCAGGACTATATATACACGTAGAAATACATAAATGAATAGAAATTTGATCTAATTTTCTCCGCGTATTAATATACTAATTTTAACTAAGAAGTTTCATATATAATCTCTTACATAGGGTCAACTGACTAAGAGACCATAAAATTCTTCCTTTACACAGAAGCAGCGCTAGAATCATAAATATGTATAGAGAAAATCAAGCATGAGTCGTGTATAAAATGACGCCGAAAATGCGATCTCTTGGGAAAAGTCTGCTTACGACCTACATATACTGGAAATGACTTGTAATAAATACATATGTCATCTTAATATTGTATATAAATGAATTTAGTTTATAAAATGCGGTCAAAATATCTGAAGTAACTTTAAACTTTATTAATAACATATATATATTTTTTAATATTTTTCTGCTAAGAAAAATATTATTTCCTAATAAGTTAAAACATTGATAAAGAAGAAACTTTGATCCTTCAATATTAATATTTCAAAGAGATTTTAATAAATAATCATCTAGTGATTTTGTTTCCCCGCTGCCCCGTCTCCAACCAAGTTTATTTGGCCATATTTGCATACAAACGTTTTTTGTGGGCGTGCCTGTTTGTTTTGTGGATAGGTGAGGAGAGCTTTCCTCAATCTCTCCAGAATACGTAACCTTACCTCCGAGGTATTTGTTTCAATTGAACCTACGTGCATATCGTCAATCTTGTTTATTACCCACTCGTATTGCTTCAGGAATATGCATGCGTAGTTTGCATAGCCAATTGTTTTATGTAGCTCTTACTCGATTAATGTATTCGTTAACATTGAAATAAGAAAAATCCTAAAGAAAATTAAGTTAATATTTTATGTTATATTAAATAATTTATCTTAAATCAACAATATTTAAGAATATCTAAGTACATGATGATCGTTTGATCGTTTAATTTCAACTATTTAATTCTCGTCATCAAAATCTCAATGTCCCTTTATCCCGGTATTTGTTTGGTAATCCCTTGAAAATTAATTACAGCTTCAGGTGGTACACGGCTCCTGTCTAAAAACAAGTATTATGTCCTTGTGCTTTGTAAAGAGACTTTTAAGTTATAAATACAACAAAGTGTATTTTGTTTATAAAATTCTAATGTTTCTGAAATAATATAAATTATATATTCATTATGATTTTATTAAAAAATATATTAAAGTACCGTATTTTCTGTTTGAATTTCTCAATAATTTTAGTGATTAAATATATAAAATTTTGTGTAAAAGCCACCGCTGTGGAATCGTAAACCAATAACGATATTTTTGTAACTGACGACGCATTACCGGCCGCTGTTATTTTATTTTAACTTAAATGTATTTTTTTTAATTTACTACGGCAATATTTTTTGAATAGGAAACTCGTTTATAAATTAAAATTATAACGTATTGTATTATTCATAATTAATCTAGTTAAAACATTTTTGCAGACTTAAAATAAAAGACATTTCCCTTAAGTTAAATAATCCAATGTCTCCATTTAAAACTCTAATTTATTTTAAGATACAGGTTTAAGGTATTTTCCTTCACGGGAATATTTAATCATACCCTAATAAAGTTAAGTAACATATACGTAAGATTTCCGAAACATCTGCTGCTGAAAGGGTATGTGGTCAGATGTAAAAGCGGTAAACTCACCTTGGGAATCAATTTGATAAATATTTACCACTCCCAAGAGTACCAGAACTTGAGTGGGTACTGGTTTCAACTCTAAGATGCTTTTAATGTTCGTAACGATGAGGACCGTACGGTAGTCTCTCGACCATTAATATTTAATCACAAATCTTGAGTCACTACTATGGATTCGTAGACGATAGTGGCAAAGGAACAATGGACCTACAAATTAGGTTTAATACAAGTTGAAGTGAGGCAAAGTGGACCCCAGTGCTAATTTTGCATGAAAATTATTATTATCTATTGTAAAATTGCACTCATTTCACACAAAAGTAAAGCTCTATAAATTAAGTTGGGATGACAACAGTAAATTGCATTTTTTGTAAATAAAAAACTAAACCACATATTGTTGTTCAAACAAGCCACGCTAAAGAGAAGAGCTAACTAACGAGGCCCTGAATGACATAAGAGTCTAAATTTTCCCTTTCCACCTGCTGCCACGAAAGAAAAGCGTTCTCCAAAAAAGTTAATTAATTACGTATGCAAATTGACGAAAAAGTCGTACTGAAACGAGTACTGCGAAACGAGATAATAAGATTGTGCGCAGCACGTAGAACGTTCGTGATTAAATCATTGCTATGGAAAAATATTTAAATTAGGTCATTTTGATGATGAAATTCGATTTATAAATATATCATTGTATATTACAAATCGGTCTTTTAATCATTTTTGTTTTCAGCTATTTCCTTTACAAGAATTCTTTTTTATAATTGAACCCTGAATAAAAATTGGTTGCTGAATATTAAAATTTAATATTACTAAAAATCTAAAAGCAATTACTGATGACCATTAAAAATGCCATGACCTAAAACAGTAAAAAAACTATATGTCAGTTAGTTTCCAACAAACTTTAAGCTTTGCTAAACATGACACAAAAACCGCAAATATTAGGCCCGGTTCACACTAACAGCCATGTGAAGGACGCAGCGATCGCTTTCAAGCTTTTCGGAATCATACACATTTGTTCTTTTTATAAAATCGGTATGCGTCTCGTTTTTCATGTATGCAACTATGATGCGGAGACCGCGCTCGTTACACGTCATTAAGCGATACTTTACAGCAGACGGTCCTTGAGACCGCCTACTCCCCTCCCGCCTCCAGTATCGGATCAATAGCTCCTCTAGATTTGGCATCGACACTAGGTCTTATGATTATTATCATGATTATTGGACCGAGAAATAGGTACAGATTTTATAAACCTAGTCGTGTTCCGTTATTTTCTAGTATTCTCAAATAATTATCTTCGTAATTTTTATCATGATAAAAAAACATTGATATAAAAGACTTTTAAATAGAGAGCAAAAGTAATAAAACTTGACAATTAATTGAAGAAAAGCAGTGTTCATTTTCTTTTCGTTCTTCTTCCTTCTTTGCTTCTAGAAAGAAAATGTTAATCATAGAAAACAGAAATTTATGATTTTGATATTAAAATTAAATTAGATTGTTATTAAATACTATTTAAGGAATATAATTGTACTACCGCAAAAAAAAATGATAGTTTAAGTATATCTTATAACAAAACCTCAAACCTATGCTAATACATTGGATGGAAATATTCAGATATTATATTAGTAAAGAAAATTCGTTGTTGTAAACCCTTATTCTGGCATCCCATCTAGAATATTTTGGTGCTTGACGTAGAGCATACGTAACGCGATTTTTGTGAGACTACCGTACATATGCCACATTAAATAAAATTTCGCTCCAAGCTCAATTTCAGCAAACGAAGTGTCCCCAGTAATTAATTAAGCACTGCTTTGAAATGTGAAAAGTAAATGCGGAAATAATTAACGAATATAAAACATTCGGAATCATATTTATTGGAAAGATGAGTTCTTCAATTAGATTACCCTCGAACGAAGATTTAATATTTCTTTTGCAAAGCTATAAAAACATGGATTGTTATAAAATAAATTGTGTGTATGGAAAAATATTTATAATGTACATTATTATAGTAATGTATTTTTCTAGATATACAAAATAAAATACTAAAATTCTCATATTTCTTATAAGAATAAACTAAGAGCTTTCAAGTGTTTTGCAAAACTTCAAGTTTTTCGCATGACTAGCATTTCAAATAAGACTATTACAGACTTCAATTGAGACAATTGCAAAAACAAGCTCCGTTTAATAATTTATTTTTAAGAAATAAGCCAATTTCAACGTTTGTTTTGACATCATTTCTGAAATACTATTAAATATACAGAATTCAATTGTCGGTGACTGAAAGATTTAAAAAGCAATACATAAAGTTTTCGTTGGAGTTAATTGTATCTTAAATATGTAACTTATACTTCATTTCATTGTCTTTACACATACAAATATAAATTGTATCCATTTTGCTCATGAAGCAACCTTAGTGTTTAACTAGTTAAATCCGGTTTAAATATATATCTACAAAGTAATTAAAATCGATATATGAACATTCATGGTAATTTTCCTTATAATCTGAACAGTATTATCGGCCAAATTTTGATGTTTTTCCAATTAACGTAACAAAAAATTGCTTCACATTAAAAACTAAGGTGTAAATTTCTCGCGAGAAATCCAGCAATCCAAAACGATGACAGAATAACATAGAAGAAAACAAGTTTCACAATTTCACATTTATATGTACGAAGAGCTGCAAATATATACATATAAAATTTTATAAAATTGTTACTGACTTCATTATATAAACTACGTTTTTAATATTATTCATAGTTTTAAACATTCATCTTTAGTATCACTAGGAAAACAAAAAACGTTCCAAATTATTTTTAAGTAAACATTATAATTTCTACAAATTTATTAATCAAAGAAGGTTTAACTGAAATGTTTTTATGCTGATAATGTTACACAAAATGGAAAGTTGAATGAATATAATCAATAATAATGAATAAATTTACAATATTGCAGTATACAATATTGCAGTTTATTAAAATTATTCGCCATGAGTGAAATAAAATAGAAACATTAAAATTTAATCCACAATTCACACCTAATTGATTTTCTTTGTTAAAAGTGTAAAGAAAAAATATATGTATATCGATAAATTTTTCACAAATAATATAATTGATTAAGTAATAAAGGTTTTAATTATAATTCCATTATTAATTTAGGCTTCATATGATATTCAATACAGTTTATGAAGCCAATTCATAAATATACATTATAGTTGCTTGTAACCCCCGTAAATACGACAACCTTTTTGCCATCTGTTATGAAATTCACGAAGTTTTGGTAACAGTTCTTACTGGTATCAGGAACGTTCAAGTTGTCATCTTCGCAGCCACCGCAAAACCTTGTCACTGCCTTAAATTAATATGAATTCCTAATTTAAGCATCCCACGTGTTGCGAACTCGCAACTTTCCAGACGCCAAATTGGATAAACATGTGCGAAGCTTGCTTTTTGCATACACTGCCGAATATTATGAAACCAATCCCAACGTTTCAAACGATTTTAAAAACCAAAAAAAGATTTTTACAGTTACATGCAAAAATTCTAACGGGCTTTTTATTTATGCTTCAGTTCACCCTGATACATCTATAGCTATCAGAATTTTAATCTGTTAGCATCAAATGCTATCACAGGAGTGTTTTTTTAACGCTCAAAAACGTAGCAGAACCGCATGTAATTTATGCCTGTATGTTTTACAGCAGCGCGCTGTTCATTTCCAAGAACACGACATTATGATAATGATAAAGATTGCATATATTGCCGTAGTCTGAAACAAAAGTTTAATTAAATAACAACAATTGCTAGACTACAGTCTGGAATTAAATAAAATTAAATTGTAGTAATAAACATTAAGTTTTACATTTAGCGTTATTTTACTATCCTTTTTAATAATAGGTTCATTTCATTTTTAATTCTATTTAATGTTGAAATTACATTTTAAAGTAGTGTTTATTTTATATCTTATATATTTCACAACGAAATGTCTTGTAATAATTACTTTGTTAATTAAAAGTATGTTCTGAACCATTGGCTTAACGTTATGACCATTTACTTAATATTTATTCGATATTTGAACGAACTTAGCTTTAAAATCGTAGATATTCCTTTTACATGTGCTATAACTTTATATTACTTCATAATTTATTATATTAAAACTAATGTCTGAACTTTTCAACTTAAATCAATTTGAAAATGCAATAAAACTGTTTAAAGAGAAGATAAATAGCTTAAGGAGAGGAGTGAAAAATCCGCTAATTCCAATGTAATGCTGGTCTAGAACAAAACTAGACGAAGAGCAATTTATTTTCATTAGCCAAGCTTTCTCATAACCCAATGATATAGCGCGAGTGTGAAAACAGAAGCTATGAACGCTATTTACCAACTATATTAGGCAAAAAAATATTGACATTAAATTCTATTGATATATAAATAACGTCAATTATTATACAGGTAGAATACGAATTTTTAAGTACAATTCTACTTTTGCAGACTGCATGCTGAGATTCTTTTATCTATTTCTCCTATTTTTTATGTGTAACCTTCAAGTTTCGACCCTTTTCCAGTGATATAAATTGTATGTCTTTATCATAACAGAAAATCACAATTATATAATCAATTTAATAGTCGTATATACTAAAGTATAAAAGATCCTAAAAAACTAAAATAAAAATGTATGGAACGTTATATGTTAATTTATTTAGAGAATAGAGAACAATAAACAAACCAACTCTTTTTCCATTTCTATTCTTAGTTTTATGGCATTAGCTACACGTGACGTTAGTTTTACAAAAACTTTTACAAAAATACTTTACGAATACAGCTAAATATAGAAGTAGGAATGATTTGAAAATTCTAGAAAGATAGTAAAATGTTAGATATACGGTCTTAAAACGTTCTTGTTAAACATGTATTAGACTAAAGCCTTTTTTAACTTAGAAATGCTGTCTAAAACATTAAATAATATATGAATACAAACCTTTTGACTTCCAAAGCGTGACCCAGAATTTTGAATCGCATGAAAGCGTGTATTTCACTTTTCAACTTATCCGAAGTAAAAAAAAATAACTCGAACACTGCAATACTCTCTGAAAGTGAAAAATTCTCGACTTTACGTTTTAAAACAGGCGTTTATCCAGGAGACATTTCCCACTGGACAGTTCATACAATATTCATGCGAGGAAGGCAGTAAAGGTATTAGCAGACAATTCGGAATATACTCACGAGTAAATGAAATTAAGCATTATTAACATATGGCTGTAGAATGGCTGATATATATAATTAATTATTTATTAATATGATATATTAATTCTAATAATGAATTGATACTGTAATGTAAAGTAAAATGAGAACTATTTCGTATACTCACAAATGCCACCATTGCAAGTGTGGAATGGTCAAAGTTATTTAAAAACCTCAAGCGTGTGAACAGTCTCATCAGAGTTTCATTGCGCTTGAATGAATTATGTGTGCTTACGGAACAAAGGAATAGGTATTGTTTTGTACACATACATGAAATTGAAACTATGACTATTCAAATCATTTTAGCAACGTTACTTGTATAAATCTATAATCAAGCGTTCATGCGAACAAGTGATTGAGAGTGTAAAAATGATTACTACCTATCTATCGATTATTATTTTTTTCTATATTTTTGCTTTGCAAATTAATATTTAGATAGCCGATATGTTAGAAAATTTATTCGCCGTTCTATATGTTCATTGGGTTAGAGATGTTACTCATGCATCAAAGTGGATGCGTTTGAGCATTTGTGAATAGTCAGCTGTCCTATCATATGACATCAAAGATATGAATATTTATATCCAACCAGTTTTGGTTGTTTAAATCGTTTTCTCTGCGCTTTCTGCCTTCATTCTATAGTTGTATGCCATCGACAAATAAACGTTTGTATTTTCCTTCAGTTTGAAAAATAATATTTGTGTAAATCGATTTTTCCGAACAAAAACTAAGACAATAGGCAAAACAGTATCGGAGGGCTATTGTTGGAGCTTTTTTGAAAAAATAAAATTATCAAGTGAAAAATATTACATTTAGGCATAACATTTTTTTTATTTTATCTCGATCAACTTATTCTATAATGGCTACATGTTGTGTGAACCAAATCATATTTCTTAAGTGTTAATTTTATTTTACTATTTTCATCATCCATAAAGGACATTAAAATTCAAGATCAT